GCACACCAACTGCCTCTCAGAACAGGGCTGTTGGTTGCACAGATTGGTGGGAACAGCATTTGGCACCTTGTGAGACAAAATCCCCAAAGAAAATAAGGAAACAGCAAGGTTGCAGGTAATTCTACAGGATGATGATGAGCTTCCTGAAGCTTGATATTTATTTGGGGAAAAAAAAAAAAAGGTAGAGTCAAATAGGATACTATGTTACTCTTCTCAGGCTAAACACCATTAGTCTTTCTCTGAATATCCATAATAGCTGCCCTYTGATGAACTTAAAAGCAAATTTCCCGGGGAACACTGATAGAGGGACTTTGAGTTCAGCTTTCCTGGGTCTTCATGTGGCTACACAGAAGTAGCAGTCTTTCCTACTCCAGGGTTCTGCAGAGAGAAATGAGTATACAGAAAATCACTGGACACTACTGCGTTGGGAAAAGAGCTACATATTCCCACAGGCAGAGGTTTGACTGACTAGTCGTATGCTGTTTCCTGCCTTGTAAATCCCCTGCACATCTGCCAGCATGGTGCAAACTCCACTTTCCTTGTCCTGAGATCTCTAATATCACTAATCTCCCATAAAATGCCTTGACAAGATCTAAGTGAAACCTGAGTTCAAACCAAGCAGTCTGAATGGATCCAAGTTGAGAGCAGCAGGTCAACAACTAGGTTGAACTTGCTGACTCACAAGGAACTTGCTGGTTCACTCAACAATACTATCTTCGAGGCCTTTAATAAGGAGCGAGGTTAAGTAAACATAACGAGCAGATAATGAAGAATAGGCATTTGGTAGAAGAGTAGGCACAGTTAAATAAGAACCTGTGCACGTTAGCTTTCAGCAGTACATTTGGCTTCTTCACTCACTGCAACTACAAGGCTAAGTCTCAGGCTGTACTGATTCCAAATTCAGCTCTGTCTCAGAATGGAAAGTTGTTCTGCAGGGACTCTTTCAAACTCTGCATTTCAGTATTCTCTATCTGCTTCTCTCACTCTCTTGCTCCTGCAAAGGAGCTGGAAGAGCTCAGTGTCCAACCATCTAGTCCTCTTCTCATATTCTTCTCTCTCTCCTTATGCRCATTCTCACATTCACAGAATGGTTGAGACTGGAAGAGACTTTAAGAGCTGATCTAGCTCAATCCCAATCCTAGCTAACCCAATCGAGTGGGCTAGCTAACCCCAATAATAGGGTTATTGTAGCAAGGACAGTGTCCASATGGCTTTTGAACATCTCCACACAGACTCCACCTCTCCGGGCAACTTCTTCCATTGTTCTGTCTCCCTACATTACAGATGTTTTCCCTTGCGTTCAGAAGGTATTTCTTGTATTTCAGTTTGTGCCCATTGCCTCTCATTCTGTCACTAGGCATGACTGAGAGGAGTCTGGCCCCTTCTTCTTTACACCATCCTTTAAGATCTTCATGCACATTGATAATTGCTACTCCCCTCAGTATTCTCTTCTGGAGGGTGGACTCTTTTAGTCTTTCTTCATTTGAAGAAAGAATTTCTTCATTTGTTGTTGGATCGCGATCAACTTGATGTCCACCAGCATTCCCAGGTCCTTCTCAAAGCTKCTCTCCAGTAGGTCAGTCCCCAGCCTGTACTGGTGCATGTGGTTATTCCTCCTTCAGAGGAATCGGACTCCGTAGGACTCTGCATTTCCCTTTATTGAACTTCATGAAGATCCTCTCTGCCTGCAACAATGTTGACTGGAGGTGGGGTCCCCCTCTCTCCCTTTTTGAAGACTGGAGTGGTATTTCCTTTGATTAACTTCCAGCTCCCGCAACACTCATGCATATATCCAAGCAGGGCCCAGGGACCTGTCTATGACCAGAGTGCTTAAGTGATCCCTAACCCAGTCCTTCAGCACTGAGGGCAACAATTCCTTGCTTCGGCATTTATCACGGGTACTTATCTGCTATAAGTAGCCATATATGTCATGACTAATGACATATATGGAGACCTTTCTGCACCTYACCAAGTGGATAGTTAATACTTTCATCTCTTGTGAGGCCACACATTGCTTGGTAGTGTTGCACTCACCAGCTGCTGTGCATACAAGGCAAAGTGCCATTGTCAAAGGGGTGAACGTCAGTAACTGTGTCAGAAAGACTTCAAAAATAATCAGGGACGGCTCACCTCACTGAGAATATTTTGTAGTATTGATCAAACCAGTTCTCAGTGGTCCCACTGTGGTCTTTTATTGCTCCTGAAGCCCCCCTGGACAATGAGGGATGGCTCATCCCCTCTGAAACTGAGAGATCAAGACCAAAGAACAGAAAGTCCAAATGGCACCAAGGTATGTGTAAGATATTTCAAAATCACTGATTTTTCCGAGAGCTCTTGATAAACTGGTGATAATGCTGATATCAAACTACAAATTTGCTACCTAGGGCCTTTTAGTGAAGTGTACTTTGCTTTTTATACTTTATTAAATCACCACGAAGTTCTCCACCTCTGCTGACCCTTGAAATTGCGTGATACCAGGGACTGCATTGATGACAAATAAAAACTGATAAAAGGTCACTCCTTGTTTCATAACACAGGGCAAGCTAGCAAATAATTGACTCATAATATTGACCAACTCAGCCGTAGGGTGTTTTGTTACAGATTTCTTGAGTATATAAGCTCTGTAGCGAGAYGGACTCATTCCAGACTCTCTCCACCTGGAAAATGGAGCTCCTGGGAGCAACAGGTGCTGTCCTACTGGTGTGCATTATTTGCCTGCTCTCCTTCACAGCATGGAGAAGCAGGTTTGGGAAGGGGAAGATGCCTCCTGGACCAGTTCCCCTTCCCATTCTAGGGAATATGCTGCAGGTGAAAYCMAAGAACTTGGCCAAAACYCTTGATCAGGTAAGGTCGCTTCCTTTGTCTCATTCACTCTCTTCTGCAGGCRGGAAACATGAGYCAAGTGCACTGGGAGAACCCCTGGCCATAGTCTGATGAAGGCCAAGCCGAGAGTGGAAGAAAAGCTTTGGGCATCTCAGCTGACACTCTGCTCTGCTGTGATCGTTGCTTTTGAGTACCTGATGGCTGCAAGACCTTTCCATAACCATATTTGCTGGGGGAGGGCCAGATCTCGATATTCCTGATCTCTGAGAACACCTTCCCTTGCAGAGTTACATGACAGCAGGGGCACTTTCTGACTTCTGCTGCCCACCTGCTCCATGGCCGTGTTTCCTTTTGTCTCTTGGCAGCTCAGCAAAAAGTACGGGTCCGTGTTCACCGTGCACCTGGGYTCCGAGCCCGTGGTGGTGCTGCATGGACACGATGTGGTGAAAGAAGCCTTGATTGACCGTGCGGACGAGTTTGCTCTCAGAGGAACCATGCCCATCGGGGACAGGGCTAACAAGGGACTAGGTATATTGACTGGCTGAGCTCCTTTTGACAAGAGAAGGGTTGAGGACAAGACAGGCAGCCACAGGGGCTGGAGTGAACTGAGCACAAGGGGAGGCTGAGGGAACTGGCTGGGTCTGGCCTGGAGAAGGGAAGGCAGAGCCAGGTGTCGTTCTGAGCYTTCACRACTACGGGTGGACAACAGAGAAACGGATCCACCGGGAAAGGGCGAGGCAACAGCTGCAGGCTGCAGCAAGGGAAAACCTGCACAGTTACAGAGTGATGCATTCATGAGGGTGTCCATGTGAGGGAAAGGGTCAAAATGAGGAGGTTGAACTGCGCGACCTCAAAGGTCTCCTCCACACTGAAGCACTCTACGATGCTACTCTGTAGGCACCCTCCTGAAAGACAGGCCTCACTGTCACTGTGAGCTTCAGTTCAGCCCATGGCCAGCACGCCCAGCCACGCCTCCCCTTCTCTTTCCTCTTCCACAGGCATCMTTTTCAGCAACAACGAGGAATGGCTACAAGTTCGCCGATTTGCTCTCACCACACTGCGCAACTTTGGGATGGGAAAGAGGAGCATCGAGGAGAGGATCCAAGAGGAAGCCGAGTACTTGCTGGAAGAGATCACCAAAACAAACAGTACGGTTTATTCTTAGCATACCTTTTGTTTGYCAAGAAGGCCTGCATTAAGTAAGYCTTGTTGGTGCTGGTCCAATGCAGGAATTAAGGTTACACATGTCCTAGGCTTGTAATTCAGGCTCCCATGCACGAACAGTGCCTCAGTTTAAAGCAACAAATAATTCCATGATTACTTACTACTGCGGTTCAAGGATCATTCAGTGTCATTCAGACTGATTGGGCATTTCTGCCAACCCTCCTCAGGGTTCTGTTAACCTTAGATGTGGCCTTCTACAGTTTTACAGTAGAAGCCATATCTGTTATTTTTTTGTTTGTTTTTTGTACCTTTTGTGAACTCACAGGGATGCCATTTGACCCAACCTCCATACTGAGCTGTGCTGTCTCCAATGTCATTTGCTCCATCGTCTTTGGGAACCGATATGACTATAAAGACAAGAAGTTTCTGGCCCTGATGRAAAACATGAACAACATCTTTGAGCTGTCGAACACTCCCTGGGGATTGGTATATTCAGCAGGCATTTTCAATGTTCAAACTAAGGCCCGACAGTGCATACACCTTCACTGCACTGCACAGGAGAGACTTCACTCTAGGGCAAAGGGAGCCCTCACAAAGCACGCTGGCTTTGCCAGCTAGCTGCAGCCTACCCCTGCTCCTGACCACCCTTCTCCTCTGCTTCTGAGTTTACTACCACTACTACTGCTGCTACTACTACTACTACTAAGCAAGCCCTCATCTCTCTGTCAGACTGCCATGTCCTCACCACCTCTCTGACTGGCTCAGTCTAGAGGCTGTGGCCTTTGGCTAATTCCAAATGATGGGGAAACAATCACACTAAGCAACTTTTGCTCTTTTCAGATCTACCAGATGTTCCCAAAGATGTTGGATTACATGCCCGGTCCTCACAACAGATTATTCACAGAAATTGATCTTCTAAAAGCCTTTGCGGCAGAGGAGATTAAGGCGCACCAAGCTTCCATAGATCCCAGCTCCCCTCGGGATTTCATTGACTGTTTCCTCAACAAAATGCAGGAGGTAAGGAGACAGCATGCAGCCCCATCTCCTCCCCRAGCACACCTACACTGAGCCCCTTTCTGTTACCAAGTCACACACACATTGGACTAACCCCTTCTCTGTGCTTTCCTCTGAAAGCTGGTCTTGGCACTGGGAAAACACAGATGTCACCTCTGTTAGAGCACAGAATTCTGGATCTGCCCACTCACTGGTCACTACCTKCAGCTCCTTRGACATCAAKCCCYGAATCAGGGCTTTCAGCAAAGCCCAGAGACCTTTGCAGTCTGGTGTTGCCCTTCCTTGGCTGGAATGCAGTTGGCACAGCCAGGGCAAGTGGGCAGCTAGCTGTCATGCGGGACACAGCTGCTTTCARGSTACCCTGCCASTSTAGGTTACTGCACAGAGATTGCACGGTAATGTCGCAGCCAACTGCTGCACCTCAACAGAGGAGCACAACAGCTCTGGATGGAAAAGAAAGCCTGCACTTACAAGAAAGAGCTGTACAATCTCTCAGCGCAGCCAGAAAAAAAAAAAAGATTTTTTTTTTATTCCCTAGGAGAAGCACAATCCCAACTCCCATTTCCACTTGAAGAACTTGGTAACCAGTACGTTTGACTTGTTCATTGGTGGAACGGAGACAACTAGCACCACCATAAGATATGGACTTCTGCTGCTTCTCAAACACCCAAAAGTACAAGGTACCACCACTGTGTGACCTGCTCCC